AATCATTATAGAATATGCAAGCGGAAATAATACAAATATTTGCTTGCGTAGGGAAGAATGGAGGAGGAAGAAGCAAGATCTAAATTTCAACAGATCATGTTTGCAGTTGAATATTGCCACAAAAAGCATATATAGTTCACAAAGACCTGAAGGCTTACTGGATGAGAGAACATAAACTTCAAAATAGCTGATTTTGGCTTAAGTAATGAATTTACTTTTGACCATCAACCTGAGACATTCTGCATTACTCCTCCATACTCAGTCCTCCAAGCTCTTCCAGAGCAAGGAACATCATGGGGTCAAGGTTGATGTCTGGGACCTAGGGGTGATTCTGGACCTGCTTGGCAAACTGGCATACTTCCCTTTGTGGGTGAAAACATGGAGGAACTGGGAAGGAACATAATCAGAGGGAAATACACCTCCTTTCCTACATCTTGAGAGCGTGTAAAAAACTTCTGAAACATTTCCTAATAGTAAATCCAGTTAAAGGCAGCACTCTGGAGCAAATCATGAAAGAGAAGTGGCTGAATGAGGGCCATGATGATAAACTTACACCATATGTGGAAGCAGAAATAGACATCTGTGATGGGGGAAAAAACAGACATCTTGTTGAGAATGGGGTATGGATAAGAAGAAATTAAAGATTCTCTTCGAAGAATGCTATATAATGAAATCATAGCAGTATGTTTTTTGTTGGTGTGAACATCTTCAGAAAGACACACAACATCCGGAGGAATGACACGGGAAACAGCACTATTCCTGATCCGAGAACTCCAGTTGCTTCGGCACACAGTATTAGCAGTGCAGCCACCCTGGATCAAATCCACTTTCCAAGAGGCACGGCCAGTTGTAGCACTTTCCTTGGCCAGCCAGGGGAGCAGCCCCCTGCAGCACATCTCAGCCCCCCTGCCATTACCAGCCTTTCAGTTGGAGCCAAACACCTTCCCCAGACTCCAACCTCAGGTTCCACTAAGCTTTTTAGTGAATTAAGTTCACAACTGAGAAGAAAGTAAGCGTTAGGTGATGCTAGTTGTTTTAGAGTAAACACATACAGCAGGAGAAGTGTTTTTTTCTTCTGTGTGCTGCCACTGCCCAGATATTTTTCATTCTGCCTTCAGCTCATATTTTTTCGGTTTATATAGTTTTAATTTTATACGTTAAAACCATTAAAGCAAAAACTAAAGAGCTCAGAGTCTTTTCATGACACTAAAAAATTTAAAATAAAATAAAAATAAGCCAAGTCCTCTGCCAAACTTGACAGTGTGTTATTTAAGTAAATTCATAAAATGCTCAATGAAAAGATTTCGTAAGAAATGCTCAATTATGGCTATATCAAACATCTCTCCAAATGTCTTTCAAGATCAAATAATTTTAGCATAACATAATCACTGAACGTCTATTGAGTTCCGAAAACAAGAACTGAAGTTGGAGAAAGTAATTAAAGCCAGATCCCCAAAGCCAGTACATCTGAGGCCCAGACACTCAATCTGCGTGTGTGCTATGGTTTCCAGTAAAACACTAAAGTGAGGTAATTTTTTATTCTCATTTTGTTCATGACTCTTGCGAAACTAAACTTGGGTCAAAATCTCTTCATTTTTCTCATTAAATGTAACACATAGTGTGTAAGTTTTCATCTTGTGCTAAAAAGAGAATCTCTTCTATAGTATATTCCTTGAGAGAAATTAAATTGTGGATAACTAAGCATCTCAGTGTTATCACCTTATTTTACTCCCTTTCCCTCTCTTATGTAAATTCAGATAAGAAATTTCGAAACTGGCTTATATGTCACTTTCTCCTCCCCCTTCTTTGTCTGTTCCCTTTTGAGATTCAACAATTGGGCTAGAGGAGGAAAGGAGAAAGATTATCACATGCTCAGGAATATGACCCTTGTTAGAGGTAAAACTGGATAAAACCCACAGCACAGGGCAGCACCTATGGATCAAAGGAATGGGGCACTGATCCCATATACCAGAGGTGGTGGGTTCAAACCCAGCCCCAGCCAAAAAATACCCAAAAACCCACAGCACAAACACACACACAAATGCACACATACTTCAAAAGCAGGGAGGAGGCCCACCCAGCACAGTGCTTTGGGATACTGAGGTGGAAGGAATGCTTGAGGCTTGAGTTGGAGATCAACATGACTAAGAGCAAAACACCCCACTCTAAATTAAAAAAAATAAAAAAATTAGCCTGGCATGATGGCAAGCTGTAGTCCCAACCACTCAGGAGGCCTAGGGGGGAGGATCCCTTCACCCCAGGAGTTGGAGGCTGCAGTGAGCTATAATGATGCCACTGAACTCTAGCCTGGGCAATTTATTTAGCCAAATAAATAAATAAAACAAACAAAAATAATAATAATAAAAGCAGGGAGGAGAAAAAAAGATATGCTAAAAAAGAAAAGTTTCTTTTCTTTTCATGAACTTGAATACAATATCTGAGATCAATTTACCATGGTATATCTTTAATATAGTTAGCATAGGTAAATGCATTCATATAAAATCCCAGAGCACCTAAATATAATATAATATTTAAGCTTAATAAATGGCAGAAAATACTGGTCTCTTGGAAACTTTTATCCCAAGGAGCATTTGAAAAATTAATAAGTAATAGATATTAAAAGGCTGTATCGTCTCTATGGTAGGTTTCAATAATTCTGAATGATTTATAGTTATTGGTCAAATGTCACTGATCACCATATAAGACATACAACCCAAATTATAAATGTTAATATTTTAACTGTGTTATTTTAATAACTTTTGGTCTATCACCTTGTCAAAAACTTTTTGAAAGCCTGATTCTATTATATTCATGGATGCACTTTGTGTAAATGCATGTTTAACACTTAAATTAATTATGCTAAATAAATCATGGTTTAACTTAAGATGATTCCTTCAGGTTTTTTTTTCCTCCTCGCAGGTTACATAAACCTAAATGTTTGGTAACCTTTTTTCTTACAATCTCATCCAGTGTGAAAGTTCCTAATCCTCTCTGGGATCTTTGCTTTGAAGGAGAATATTTGTTCCTTTTAACTCTTTATACTATAGAATATATTACTAGACAGATTTCATAGGAATTTTTTAGAATTAGTACCTATGATCTAAAATTAGGGGAAATTGACATTGCTTAACACTAATGCTTCTTAAAGCACATTTCTTAGTGGTGTTATGGTATTCCAGTAAGTATTATTACATTGTCCAGACACAGTAAGTTAGAACAAAAATAATTTAAAAACATGTTTTTCACTAAGCCATGTTGTCAATCAACAATTTAGTAGAATAATTCTCCATTTCTACTTTTCATTTCCATAAAACTGTACTTGAATTAGTTTGCTGAGAAGATATAAGACCTGGAACCAGTTATTTCAGCCCTCTGGGGTTTTCTCACTTGTGACATTAGGAGTTGATTTAGATGTTTCTAAGATTCCTTCAAGTTGCAGGGGTGTCCAACCTTTTTTCTTCTCTGCCGCACAGTGGAAGAAGACTTGTCTTGGGCCACACATTAAATACACAAACACTAACGAAAGCTGATGAGCAAAAAAAAAGTCCATGCATAATTTTCATGATACCTGACACCACAGATAAGCAAAACACACTGCACAAGCAGCCCAGAGGCTGCACGTTGGACGTCCCTGGGAGGATTGTTTGACCTGGAATCCTCTACAGCCCCTGGTTTACACGGTATTTTAAAACTCTCCTGTCAGTTACATTGAAACTTCTTACAAGGTCCACATCAAATTCATACAGACAACTTCCAATTTGTCCTGCTCTGTGGATTTCACTGTTATCACTAGCATTTTCTTCTACTTGTGGGATAAATCATTTCATCTCAGTAAGAAAGTTTCTTCCTTCTTCCCTCCCCCTCACCTTCCTTCCCTTCTCTCCTTTCTTTTCCTAGTTTAGCTCCAGGTTTTCATAATTGGTTGGGGCCTTAAATTCTAAAGACACATTTGTCTGGAGCTTCCAAGGTGTTTCAATTTCTACATTCCTAGATTATTGGTACTCTCCTCATTCAACATATGTGAGGCACATGATTTTGGTTATATTTTTCTTAAGCAGTATACTGAACTGCCTGATGTGATAAAAAAAAAAAAATCATGCTATGGATGCTCACAATATCTACTTTATGACTTCTTGCACATCACTCAAGACCAGGTCTAGGAAATTTACTTTCTAATGATTTATTAAAGCATCAATTGAGCACATAATCATTTATCCTATCCAATTACTTATCTTACGGTTTCCATTCTGATAACATATGCTACCAAATATGTTCAAGTAACTTAAGTTCCTAATTGTTAAGTATCTAATATAATTTTTCGAATATTGCCAATTTTCACAGCTAGATTATATAAGTGTTCTATCTACAGAACACTTTCTTTATATAAGACTTTTACCTCATTGCTGTTCATTATTCTCTGTATAAAACATTCCTATTTATCCTATGAGCCTGACATGAGGAAGGGAGAGAGGAGACAGGGAAAAATAGATAAATGAATCTCAGTCACTGTACACTGTGGAGACCTTATTAAGAGTCTGGGGATAATCTTGGTTCAACTGAGATCATTACATACATGTTGCTACATCTCCAATCCATTTCCTTTTTCTTTTTCTTTTCTTTTCTTTCTTTTTTTATTATTTTTTTTTCTTTTTGAGACAGAGTCTCAAGCTGTCACCCTGGGTAGAGTGCCGTGGCATCATAGCTCATAGCAACCTCAAACTCTTGGGCTTAAGCGATTCTCTTGCCTCAGCCTCCCGAGTAGCTGGGACTACAGGCGCCCTCCACAATGCCCAGCTATTTTTTTGGTTGTAGTTTCATTGTTGTTTGGCAGGCCCAGGCTGGATTCGAACCCTCCAGCTCCGGTGTCCACGTCTGGTGCCCAAGCCACTGAGCTACAGGTGCCGAGCCCATTTCTTTTTTCTACTGTGACCTGCAAAGTTTATTCAATTGTGCTTAATTTTCAATCTTAGTTCTTTAATAGAAGATCTTAATTATCTTACCTGAATTCCAATATCAGTGATTTTGTAACACTCAGATAGAGAAAGTTCCTTCAATTTTTTATGTTTGGACAGTATCAACAAACCCTGAAAATATTTAATATAAAGATAATTTTGTGACTATAATTTAGTGTGGAAAGTATATTTCTAATAACCATTTATGCAAACTAACAACATAAAAAATCATGCAAATGAAAAGAAATTGCTTCTGTCTTACAATTTTTTACACTTAAAGCATACGATAACTTTGGCTGGGCAATATCATTGTCTCTAATGTTTTGCAAAATGTTTTACAGAACTCCAGAGCCAGAAAACTCCTTAGGAGGTTATTATCTTTCCACCATTTTCAAATAGATGTTATCTGAATCAATATAAATAAAACTAACTTATAACTTTATTTTAAAGATACTTTCACTTGGCTGAATTTATTTGTCATTAAACTCTTATTTATGTCTAACATAAACATCTAAAAATCTTACCTCATTTTATAATGCTTAATCCATTGAAGACAAAGGGAATAAATCTTTATATAAAGACCCAGAGAGAGTCATTCACTAATTAGTCCACTTCTTGTTCAGGTTACAAGTTTTGGATTTTTTAACTAACAAAAGTTAAATTGTACTTTCAAGCCCTTAAGTTTTTTTTTATGTGTAATTGTACTGTCTCATTTACTAGTACTTCTCCCATAGAATTGCTAGGATAACACTCAAATAAGTACTGATGATTGTGGCTTATCGGTGCCATCCTCCTATTTTGCATTCAGGATGGTATTTTATAATTCCATAAGCTATGCTTCTTAAACTAAGAATTAGATCATAGAGATGGTTACGTGACTCCATGAATACACTATAAACCAAAGAATTGTATACTTTAAATTGATGGGTTTTATGGTATGTGCATTTTATCTCAATAAAGATGTTTTTCAAATTGAACTGACATAATAGCTGTATAACTAAATAAAAATCAGAAAGTAGTTATATAGCATCCTTTATTCCAAGATGAATATAGAAATTGCCCATTTTTCAAATATCAATATTTTTATCAGTGATCTTCAAACCCTGAAGACCAATCCATTAGCAAGACAAGGAGAAAGAGATGTCATCATACTCATTAGACAAGTTATCATAAGGCCTTTCTGCTGTAAGTGAACACAACTTTTTATTTATTTATTTATTTATTTATTTTTAGAGACAGAGTCTCACTTTGTTGCCCTTAGTAGAGTACCTCACAGTAACCTCCAGCTCTTGGGCTTAGGCGTTTCTTTTGTCTCAGCCTCCTGAGTAGCTGGGACTATAGGTGCCCGCCACAGTGCCCGGCTATTTTTTGTTGCAGTTTGGCTGGGGCTGGGTTTGAACCCACCACCCTTGGTATATGGAGCTGGCACCCTACTCACTGGCCACAGGTGCCACCCACAACTTTTTATTTTTTGAGACAGTCTCACTCTGCTGCCCTGGGTAGAGTGCCATAGCATCTAGCTCACAACAATCTCAAACTCTCGTGTCAAGTGATCCTCTTGTCTGAGCCTCCTGAGTAGAGGAGGCACTCGCCACAATGCCCAGCTAATTTTCTATTTTTAGTAGAGATGGGGGTCTTGCTCTCGCTCAGGTGGGTCTTGAACTCCTGACCTCAAGCAATCCACCCACCGCAACCTCCCAGAGTGTCAGTATTATAGGCATGAGCCAGGTTGCCCAGCCAGTAAACACAACTTTGTAACTGATCAGCAACAAATTTAAGAAGCAGCAGGGGATGAGGTCTCCACTAGAAAATGCCTCATGCCGGTTATGGGAGGCCAGCTTCTCCCAACAAGAGAAATATACTATTCCAGTCAACAGGGTTCATTTTTAACAATTTTTAAATTTATTTTAATTTATTCATTTATTTATATTGAGACAGAGTCTCACTCTGTCACCCCGGGTAAAGTGCCATGACATCATAGCTCACAGCAACCTCAAACTCTTGGGCTCAAGCTACCCTCTACAGGTACCTGCCACAATGCCTGGTTATATTTTTAATAATTTTTTGAGTTGGGTGGCACCTGTCGCTCAAAGGAGTAGGGCTCCAGTGCCATATGCCAGAGATGGTGGGTTCAAACTCAGTCCTGGCCAAGAACTGCAAAATAGTAATAATAATAATAATTTTTTGACTCAGAAGCTTCCATGACCTTAAGAACATCAGAAACAGCCAGGTAAATATTCTATTTGGCACCATAAGGTTCATAAATGTTCCAGATTAGGAGGTGGCTCTGAGACAAGTGTTAGAACATTTTACAGATTTTCTTTATACCTTTAGAAAATCTTAAATCTCAAGTCTGGAATAAATTCATTCATCCTTAACACTCACTTAATAAATATTTATTTAGAAGTATAATACTGATTACATCCTGTGATAGAAAATTGGGATCATAAAGGTCAATAATGTGCTGTGTTTGCTCTTCAGGAGCCCATAGTTTGGCATGGAAGATAGACAAGTAGAAGAGATCGCTGCAATCTGGTGAAAGGTAAATACCATGTACGGTGGTACTGAAGAAGAATACAGGGCCAGCTACTGAGGACTGAAGAAAACCAGATGGAAGAGAGTCATGACTGGGGAGGAGCAAGTTGCTAAGAAGACTATGAAGGGAAAGATATTCTAGGCAGAAGGGAACAGAATGTGCAAAGGCATTCAAGGATAAAACACAATGTAGGGAACTATACAACATGGTTGAATGGATTTATAATGGATATTTTAAAAATTATCCAAACAGTTGGTCAGTGGATTCCTCTTGAGGAGGAAACAAAGAGGTTTATTATTATTTGTTTTGTTTAATATCTTGTTAAGTGCTTGGGGATAAAAGTCTTGGAGACTGGCTGATGACAAGGGGTTTACCTCTGCAAGGGATGGAAATAGTAGAGTGGGAAACCACAAAAAAAAAAAAAAATGAGGAAGGAGGAGCCAGCAAGATGGAGTGACTGGGCCTCAGTGGGACAAAGTACAGACTGATGCATACTTTTTAGGAAAGTTGTGGCATCACTGCAATGTAAATCCTCCTTGTTCTCCTTCATAAGTCGGCCAAACTCATGAATGCTCTAGCTGGAGAGAGTTTTGGCTCTATTTTCCAAAAGTACAAAAAAAGGACCAAATTTTGTGATCACATGAAGCACAGAGGAGCCTGAAAGTCTCCAGTTTTGCAGGTTTATGAGAATAGGAGCCTCCAGGAATGCACCGGAATCTGGGGAGTACTTTGCTCCTCCATAGCCTAAGGAATTGAGGACCTGAACATGAGGGGCCCGAGAGTCCCTAGTAGAAAACTGGCTTACATTATAGCTCCATTTTCAGGTTCATTGAGGCAAGTATCAATACCTAAGGCTCAAAAGGAAGCAGGCAGCAGGCCCCAAGAGCCTCATACATTATTCTAAGGAATCTGGACTTCATCCTATGCAACAGAGTTAGGCAGAACTTTCCCTCTCTAGGGAATATAACTTGGTACATGAATGACCATAATGCAAGAAAAGAATGAGGTATGTTTCAAGAGACATATAGGAACCACACAGCAGGAAACAATTGATTCCAGTTGGAAGGAAGAAGTGGTGATCTAGAAGAGGTTTTCAAGGAGGCAGGGGAATTTGAATTAGGCCTTAAAAACTCCGTACAATTTTGATAAGCAAAACAGTGTTTCAGGCTGAGGAGATGGCATGAACATCTGGAAAGTGTGAGTTGTTTGGGAATTGGTTAAGTTTGGGGTCACTGAGTAGTGGGAGGAAAGATGGAACATTGCCAGCAACAGATAGATGTACATAAGATGTTTGGGAACAGACAAATCCATGAGTACTGTGTTTCCCTCCCACCCCAAGTTTACATCTGGAATTGTTTAGCTGATGTAGACAGATAATAGCAATGAACTAGTTACCAAATGTTGGAATGGGGTGTGCGTGTGCACCTACTGTATGGCTGAGTCACTATTACTCCTGGCTTAGAATTACCCACATAAACATAACACATCCCTCCCCTCTTCATTTTGACAACATTCAAATCTACAGAAAGTTTCAGAGTGGTACAATGAACACCTATATACCCTTTACCTAAATTCACTAATTGTAAACATTTTGCCACATTTACTTAATTGCTAAGTGGATATGTGAACATACATATTTTATTCATATAAATGTATGATATAGTTTTATATTTATTACATATATGTAGTTATATATATTATCTAATTTTATATACCCACACACACATATATATATTTCCCTGAACCATTTGAAAATAGGTTTCAAATATCATGATGCTTTACCCCTAAACATACTGCATGCATTTCCTTAAGAATAAGGACATTTTCCTATGTAACTATATGGTATTATATACATATAGTATAGGCATATGTAGCATCATGATACCTAAGAAAATTAAGTAATACCACATTATCTAATACAAAGTCAATACTCAAATTACTTGGTATCTAGGACCTAGTCAGAATTCACACATTACATTTGGTTATCACATCTCTTAGACATTTTTTTTCCTTTACATTTTGTCTCTGATGGCCAGGCATGGTGGTTCAGACCTACATGCTTGAGGTCAGGAGTTTAAGACCAGCTTAAGCAAAAGAAAGACCTTGTCTCTATCAAAAATAGAAAAAATAGCTGGGCACAGTGGCACATGCCTGCAACCTCATCTATGCTATGGTCTTGGCTATTTAGGAGGCTGACACAGGAGGATTGCTTGAGCCTAGGAGTTTGAAGATGCAGTGAGTTATCACAATGACACTACACTCTAGCCAGAGCAACACAGTAAGACACTGTCTCAAAAAAAGAAAAAATTTGAAAAACATTGACTTTGGGGGGGGCCCAGGACAGTTATTATGTAGAATGACTCATGTTCTGGATTTGTCTGGTTGTTCCTTATGATTAGATTCAAGGTCAACATTTTTGCAAAAATACCACCTAAATGCTATTGCACCCCATTAGGAAGCATCTCCGTCAGTTGTCCCCCAACTGCTGGTAGGTTGCTTAGTTAAGGTGGTGACAACTAAGTCTCTTCATTATAAGAGGTATATTTACCCCTTTTTATTTGGTAAGTTATTTGTGGTATGATTCATTCAGACTGCA